GTGCATGCACTTGTTGGAGATGTTTGTTGTTCTTTATTGTATACATATTTTATTTTTAAAAATTATATATGACATATTGGTGTCATATGAAAGAGTATAAAAAATTATTTAATTTGGTATAGTTTTTGTTAAAATCGGATTAATATTTAAAAAGTTAAATCGATTTATAAACTGAAGAAGTTTTATATGATTTGAGATTTATTATTACCTAGTATTTAGGGAAATGGGCACCTTCAACCATATGGATTTTTTTTAAAATTACCATCTTGTCCATTTAACGTGCGTGTGATTAGATGAGAGGTCATGGTTTTTTTAAAGTGTTTGCACTCCCATGGTACATCCGTGCATCTACTCCTCTTTTGGCCATTAATTTACTAAGATCTACGGTTATGAATTGTTCTTATTTCTCACAATAAGGAGTGTTCTCATTAGAACCCAACCCTATATAAGGAGCGGATCAAGTGAGAAGTGCCCTTCGGCTGAGAACTGCGAAGTCTAACTTATAAGCTAAAAATACAAACTTTTAACCAATAAATCATAACTTATAGACCCCCTCGAAAATAATTACGAAAATGCCACCGCGTCAAAATAACTCCAGAAACCTGGAAAATTTTTTGACACGGTGGCATTTCCGTAATTAAGATGGAGAGCTTTATAAGTTATGATTTATTGGTTATAAGTTACTATATTCAGTCTATAAGTTTGGTGCGTTATAAGATTAGATGCAAATCCAAGGGCTGCGATTACTTCTCACTTCTCATCTTAAGGAGAACTTCTCACCTGATCTTCTCTCTCTCTCTCTCTCTCTCTCTCTCTCTCTCTCTCTCTCTATATATATATATATATATATATATATATATATATATATATATATATATATAAGTACACGTAAGTGTCAATTTTTGTAAAAACCCTTTTATATAATGGTTGGGATCATTATTTTCAATTTTTCCTTTATTTTATTACTGATACTCTTTGTTGAAATATTATGGGAAAATAAATTTAAATAATACCAACTATCACTTATAAATCAATAATAATATATACTTTGAAAATGATTTTTAATAATACCAATTATTTGAGTATAAACCAAAAATAATATGGAGTCACTTTTCGATAAGAAATCCATTCATTTGAGACATTAAAAATTAATAGAAAATTACCAAATAAATGATGGAAATACAATCACTTATTTAATATTTTAATACTAATTTTTGATGAATTAAACAACTGAATTTTCATTGAAAATTTGCTTTATATCACTTTTGATCTATATTTAAATAGTTGGTATTATTAAAAGTAATTTTCAAAGTACATATTATTTCTTCTTCATGGAAGATAGTTTGTACTCCCTCCGTTCTTAAATATCTGTCCCGCTAGCCTTTGGCACGGGTTTTAATAGAAAAATAGTATGGGTAAAGTAAAAATTGTAGTGAGATGTGATTAAATGGAAAAGTAGAAAAGAGAACAGATTAACAGATGTAGTTAAATGTGTGGAGGAGGAAATGAAAGAGAAAAAGATTAAAAAGCAATGGAAAGAGAGTGTTTCAACACACTTATTTGTACAAATCAAATGAGTGTTGCGTACAAATCTGAAATATTATTTAGTTTTAAAATTGTGGAAAGAACCGCCTGTATGTTTCTTTTGTGAAAAAGATCAAATAGGCATTTAAGATACATTCTATTGTCATAGTAATTTATCAACCGAATAATTACTATATTCATTTTTTAATTTATTACATTTCAATATTCCACTTTTATAACAACTATGCATAAAATATTTAAAACATATTCACTGAGAAAGTTTGTTTGAAAGGCATGATTTGTCCAATAATTGCAAACATTTGAATACATGATTTCTTATAATATTAAAAAGGCTTTGCAGTCGGGTTTTGTGCGGGTCTTCAGTTCTAAGCGGGTTTTCATTATTTGCGGGTTCGGTCATAACCGACCCAGTATGCCAGGTGGGTCGACCCTACCGAGCCAGTTCGGGTCTGATAACATAACTTCTTTTTTTTGCTAGATGTATATTTACCATTCGTATTACTCCGTATTACATTATGACAATTGAATTCTTACGTAGGAAATGATTAACTTTCATGTTTAATTTGTATTACTCAAAAATTTACTTTTTATATGAGAAATATATTTTCCCGGATGCACGGGTATATTACTATAGAAATGATAGCGCCAATGTAATCTCTTTTTATTACTCGTATAACAATAGACAAAAATATTTCCATGAAACTAGCAAGCAAATAGGGATGGACCGGTACCGGCTCGGGCCCGGCCAGGCCTCGGTTCATGAAGGGGAGGCCCGGAACCGGCCCGGGTAACCCCCGGGTTCGGGCCGGGCCTCGATTCTATTTTTTTGGCTTTTCCTAGTTAACCCCCAACCCTCCCCCTACCCCCAATTGCCCAAACAAACCCTAACCACCTCAAATGGCCCAAAATACCCAGCCCAACCCAAAAACTTTTTAAAAAAAAAAATGGCTCGGCCCGGGCCCGAACCGGCCGGGCCGGTTCACCTTTTGAAGGGCCCGAGCCCAAACCGCCATCCCACCGGGCCGGGTGGCCCGAACCGGCCAACCAACCGGTTCACCGGGCCGGTCCGGGCCCGCACAATAGTGGGCCGGTCCGATTCCGAGCCGATTGGCCCGGCCCGAGTCCAACCCTACAAGCAAACCACCGATATCTCAACTTACTATTGCCACGTGATATTTTCTATGCGTCTCATGGCACTTCCGGACGTTTCAATGTGAAGGGCATTAGTCTACCCGCTACACCAATGGGAGGGGTGAAAACCACATACGATAGTATTTAAAGTTTTCCCTCCAAGAATGGTGCAACACTGCAACCCAAACAAAAAAAAAAGTATAGCCATAAGCTATTGTCGATTGGGAGAACCTCCGGGAGGGGAATTAGGAGGATGGATCGCCCCCAGAGGGAGGAGCTAGCCGCAAGTTAGGAAAATGTGAGGGTCCACATTAAATTAAAATCACAATTTTGTTAAAAATGGTGTAATTTTTTGTTTGAAAACCAACTTTTATAGAAAATATATCAAAATTCATAATTGTTTACGATCTTTCATATGACATCAATAAAGTTTCTTAAAAAAATATGAAGTTTTATCTGATGGAGAGATTTTCAAGCCTAAATTTTCTCTTAAGCAAATATAATTTATAAAATTAACGTCACATAGTAAAATGTTGTGTTTACATATTTCAGTTATTTTTTTAATAACTAATTAAAGTCCAAATTTATTTATTTTTACATCAGAATGTATGATTTTTTAATTATAGTTATTCGGTAAAAAAGTGTTTGCAAAAAATTGGTGTATAATAATAAAAGAAAGAGTTTATTAAGAAAAACTTCACTGAATGAATATATTGACGGTGTTGGATTGCAAAAAGCATTTCTAATAAGGAGTATGTTTTTTAATTAATTTAAAGTGTTAGAATATTTTTTATTGTTTTTCATAAATATTACTTCCATGAATTTTATTTACAAAAGTATGTCTCATATTCACATAAGTGTAAAAAATGAACATAAATTATTATGATTATAGTCACTACACTTGGACTGAAGGGTAAATTTTATAGGATAACAATTAGGCATGCATTACTATATGGCGTAGAGTGTTGGTGGTAGGCTTGGACTCAGTGCGGGCCTACCCGGGGGGTCTACCGGTTCCGGGCACGGGTAAGGGAAAAGGGGAACCGGCCCGGCGGGCCGGGCTCGATTCGGGCCTTTTTTTTATTTTTTTGGTTTGGGCTGGGGTTAGTTGGGCTGGGCTGGGTATTTCCGAGGGGTTTGGGGGGTTGGGAGGGATGGGGGTGGGGGTGAAATAAATAAGAACAAAAAAAATGAACCGGAACTGGCCCAGCCCGGAACCGGTCAAGACCCGGACCGGTCTCAGGCCTATGGATACAGAACCGACGGCCCGGCCCGGGCCCGACCCGGCCCGAGTCCAAGTCTAGTTGGCGGTGAAACAATGTCACATTCAATTATTCAAAAGATGAGTGTGGCATAGATGCGCATGTTACGTTGGATGTGTGGGCATACTTAGGGATGGACCGGTTCCGGTTCGGGCCTGGGCCCGGCCGGGCCTTGGTTCATGAAGGGGAGGCCCGAAACCGGCCCGGGTAACCCCCGGGTCCGGGCCGGGCCGGGGTTCTATTTTTTTTTTTTGGCTTTTCCTAGTTAACCCCCAACCCTCCCCCTCACCCCCAAACCAACCCTAACCACCTCAAATGGCCCAAAATACCCAGCCCAACCCAAAAACTTAAAAAAATTCAAAAAAAAAATGACCCGGCCCGGGCCCGAACCGATCAGGCCGGTTCACCTTTTGAAGGGCCCGAGCCCGAACCGACATCCCACCGGGCCGGGTGGCCCGAACCGGCCAACCAACCGGTTCACCGGGCCGGTCCGGGCCCGCACAGTAGCGAGCCGGTCCGGTTCCGGGCTAGTTGGCTCGGCCCGAGTCCACCCCTGTGCATACTAGGAAGGACCGCGTGAGGAATGAGATAATCAGACAAATGGTGAGACTGCGTTTTAGTACAAGGGTAAGACTGCGTACATCCGACCCCCCTCCCCTACCCTACTGTAGCTGGGAGCGTTTGCGGCACTGGGTAAATGAAAAATGAAAATGATTGATCTTTATGTATATTCATCTCTTTTTATATTATCTTTTTATAATAACTTATCTTTTTCTTTATTTTCTTTCTTTTCCTTTTGGTGGTGATATCATATATCAATTCAGGTTAGCCGACCCCAATATTTTTTGGGACTAAACCTTGCATGTTATTGTTGTATAGTCACTACACTTGGTGAGGTCACATTTTGGTCACGTAGTATGTGTAATTATTCCTTTTTTTAATGAATTGACTATACAAACCTAATGCCACAGGGCAGTCAGGAATTAGGATTAAAATGTTGATGATAAATTGATAATGAAAGACACAAAATATGTTTGTTCACTATGAATGAAAACAGCATACCTCCTGACAGAGCAGTCATGGCTGGTTTTCTGCGAGCACATTGATTACTTTATTTCCCTTCAAAAGGATAACCAATCCATGGAAGGATGGTCATATGCTCTTATTTCACCAGTATGACAGAATGGAGCATTTACATTCACGTCTGTGGTTTACCTTACACGGCTTCTATACTTACAGTTACAGGTAATAGTTTACTGAGGTAGTACAGTGTGAGTAGTCTAGTATAGGCAACATCAGATGGCTCCCAATCTGTTACCTAATCGAACGGATCTATTCGAGGGTCGTGCTCGCTTGCCATCACCATCCCCGTGCAGAGGCATGTAGGACACATCACCTTGTGTAAATAAAAACAACAATCAACTGTGAGGCAATATGAAAAGTTGTACATCATCACTATTGGATCTTGGGTCCATCCTAAAAGATACTACTAATATGGAAAGAGTCAGGCACCTTAGACGTGAGTTTATACATTTATACATTGCCGAAATAGAATGACCTAATAGTGACAACTTTGATAAACATATTCAGGCTAGAGCTGAAAAAAAAACAAATTGTGCCCTTAAAAATCAGTATGAAACTAAAGAGAAAAAACGAATATACTTTCGCACTAATGTCAGACCTTCATATTTGTCATGCATGCGGTTGAGGGATGTACTTTTTAGAAGGTATTAATGTAAAATAATAAAGACTCATGTGAACTGTATACAAAATGAATTTATGAAAACAAAAATAAAATAAATTTATAAATTAGAACAATATACTACCTATTTCAAGACCCGTCCACGGTTTCAGGTTAAGCTGGGTTCACTAGTCCCAAATATTGAAACCAGAATCACCGGTTTCTGTTGTTGTGTAGCTAACAACAGTAATAACAATTATAAATCTTATTGGTTACTAACTTACTACTTATTAGTTATTACGGAGTATTAGTTATAATGTTTTTATTACAATTATTATTAGTAACAGGGGCAGCCCGGTGCACCTTGGCGTACCCGTAAAGCGAGGTCTGTAAAAGTTCCACCACCGTAAAGCCCGGTGCACCTTGAACTCGTGACCTCTCGGTAACACAACACTTTAACCAGTGCGCCAAATCTCTCTTTTTATTACAATTATTAGTAGTAAGTATGCGTAATTTACTAATGAGCAAATTGTCTTAAAAAATAAAATACGGAGTACTAACTTGTAGATTTCTACAATCTAATCTATAACTACTTGGCTATTAACTATCTAACTATTTTTCTTAATTATAAGTTAGTCTTAAATACGTTTTTAGTCCCTACAAATATGACACTTTGTTTTAGGTCCCTATAAAATATTTTCTTGTTTTTCATCCCTGCAATATGCACTATTTTGTTTTTAGTCCATATCTAATTCCGAAACTACTCTGCTTACAAAAAGAGTTAATGTCGGTTACATAAATCTATTAGAAATATTTAAATTTGTCCTTTTAATTTTTTTTAAGCTAATATGAGAATTGAAACAATATTAAACTTAGTATTCACATTTTAAAAATATAAAAAAAAAACTTCCAAAAAAAATTAAAAACTTTTTGAATAACATAACAAAAATTAGAGGAAATCTATTAGTTGGGGTTATTTTGAGGTCAAACGGAGATTGTTATCATAGTTATACTAATATATTTTTAGGAACACTTTTAATTGAATAATCTTATTAGTTATTTCATAATCTATTTTAAACAAATTGACTAACCTTTTAAATCTTAAAATAAAAAAAAAGGACCCGAAAACCAAACCGGAACTGACCAAATTGAAGCCAGAACTGCTCGTTTAGGAATCTGTACTGTGCTGTTGTGGTTCGGGTTCCGGTTCCATGAAATTTGGAATCAGGAAAGGCGGTTCAGTTCTGGTTCGGTTTGGAACCGCGGGCACCCCATTGTTATGTCCCCATGTTTCTTCAATTTACAAATTTTTAGCTTTGGTAAGGTGCAACCATCATAAACCATGAATTACATTCACGTTTTTAAAATAATTGTTGCTATGAATAATTTTTTGGAAAACTTGCAAATAACATGAGAAATGATCAATCTGGACTCTTTATTTTTGGAACAAAAAGTGTTTGAAACATGACTTCTTTTTTGGGATGGAGGGAGTGACATCTTATGTCATAGAAGTACCGCCTTAACTTATTTTTCCAGGCCAATATCAATTTTTCTAATATTTCATTTGCACACAAATCTGTGACTATTGGGGGTTACATGGTACATACCTTTCCTGCTCCAGAGCAATTTTGACATCTTTGAGGAGATGGTTCACGTAATGCCTTGCCTGAAGCGCCGTTTACTGAGATGGGATCCACATACACACATTTACCTCTTCCAGAACAACGCGCACATGCCAAGTATCCTGCTTACATAATCATGTAACCAGATATATGCTGATCTTTTAGGCGATGTTTGGAAACTCAAAAATTGATAGGAAAGAAGAAAAAAAGGCACTACGGAAATTGGTTTTTAATGCTTGTTTTTACCTTGGAAAACATAGGAAGAAACAAGATGATTAAAACCTTTGAAAATTTTACATATAATTAGGTTTACTGGTCTATATATGACAGAAATACATAAAAAATGAGTTAGAAGAAATATCTAAAATTGAGGCATTATGTTTTAATTCTCTAACTTGGTTTATTTTGTGTGAACCATTCTTTTTTCCTCCAAATTTCTTTTCCTTTCAAATGTCCCCTTTATTTTTCTTAATTCATTTCCCTAGCATTTTATGGGGTTCCAAGCGGGCTTTTAAGCAATCTCTACGAACATGACAGGGTACTAAGTTACCGACTGTAGATATCAGATCAATCGTCTGTTCTGCAACTACGGTTTGGAAAGAGAGAGTTACGCACCACTCCCGAGGCAATATTTGCACCTTTTCTTCTCTTGCTGGACCACATTGTTAGCTTCAATTAGCATCAAGCACGAAATAACCCCCACTGCCCCACCTGAAAATGAGGCCACTATCGGGTCGACCTGGCTGAAAATATAGCATAAAAAGTATAAATATATATATATGTGTGTGTGTGTGTGTGTGTGTATGATGAACTATCTCATATTGCCATTCATCTCTCTCATAATAATATATAAAATCGAGTGAAGTGCTTGCCAAAAGTTCGTGAAGTACCTTAGTTGCATTGGAAGATGCAAGTTGCGTATGAAATCTTCATAAGAGGTGCCTCCTATTCCTAACTTTAGCTCAAGCTGTTATGTCAAAGGGGGTATATTAGTTCAAAGTCGCTAAAAATTGATAGCACACATGCAGCAACCTCTCATTTTTATGAATGTGTGTTTGGTTGAAGGACTTTGGAGGGGGCTCATTTTGTTTTACTAACTTATCTTTATTTATTTGTTTTGGAATAAAAAATATCTGTTTACTTAAATAATGTAATTCTACATATTTTTCAACTTCAATTTTTACCAACCACCTAAATGTAAAAAAAATGAAAAATGGCCCTTCCATTTCCTCCCCTCCAAATAATCCCCCTACCAAGCAAAGGCTTGAGGACCTCTCACTATCAACAGTACCATCAATATTATTCGAGGTTTAATTTCTATTTAACAGATTAATAAGTTCGAAAAGCGCAAGTTACCCATACCTAGAAAAGAACCATACAAAAAGTTCAGATATGAAAACATTGTAATGATTTAAAAACCCATTAACTTACAATTGGTGCAAGCAGGCCCCCAAATACAATAATTCCAGAAATGAATGAAAAACTTGTAAGGTAAAGCTGCTTCAATGTCTTTGTGGTCTGTTTCAAACAGCAATGAACCACTTAGCTCCTAGGCAAAACATCAAGACACATGAAATGAAGGAAATAATTTGCCATGTTAATTTGCATATTGCAAGTAAAAGGAAATATAAGTGGCATTATAAATTTCTCATCAGGCAACACAAGAAATATTAAACCACAGCCAGTTTTCTGTTCTACAATCGGGTAATCAAACTATCAGTGACAAAATCAACACCAACGTCGTGCAAATTTGTTTGCTTTGGTTAATCCAAAAAAAGGGAAAAGGGTCAAATAGACTCTTCTACCATTTCCGATCCATCACTTAAGTCCTACTAAAAAAAGCATCATATAAGTGCATTTACTTTAAAAACACGGTAAAGTAAGCCATTTTAACCTGTTGTAGCAAGTTATTTAAAAAAATAAATAAAGCAATTGATTGATCTTATAAAAATCCATATAAATTTGAAAACCAATGTAATAATTATATTAAAAAACAGCATAAGTTCAAAAATACATAACACATTAATATAAAAAATACTACGTAAAAGTTAGAACATACAGATAATTCCAAAAATGCAACATATAGAACTTGACATTCTTATTCTGTCCACACTTGTATTTATTTCTACGAATTTTACCAAATTTTTAAAGTTTTTAAAATAAAATCCTGGTATAAGGTTTGAAATTGTGTATTTGAGGCGGTTTCATAGCATTGCCTATTGCGCAATGAGGGGTAAGCCTCAACTTTTAAACAAATTTATATTAAAAAAAATACAGATATTGTAATTATTAATAAAGTAAAAGATGATTAAAAGTCAACTAATGCTATAATGAAAACCCACAAAATTGAGGTCATAAACCCATCAAAAAAATATGTTCGAACAACACACACTATAAATGTTTGCTAATTTATTAAAGTTCTAGAACTACTAGAACTTTAAAATAGCATGATGGGTCTGGTTTATTTGTCGCTGACATGATACCAACAATGTGTATAGCGAACAAAGAAGATAATACAATATTTAATATTCGTCCACTATATATTTTCAATTCCTTATGGTGTAGTGGGAACTAGGAGCACAGACTACTCTGCCCACTATAAGTCACTAACTCCTATATGAATAATTAAATAATTAAATATATAAGACAATAATACAACACATACCTCTGTTCGCGTGAAAAAAAGAAGGGTGAAAGAACAAGAAGGTCGTAGAAGGTAAACGTGAAGAAGAGAAGCAGCCGCACATTACAACCGTTTAAGTCTGTATATTTTCCTGCTATATGTTGTGCGCCTCAAAACGAGCTATATAGCATATGCAATTAGCATACGCCCTGCTTAAAAAATTGCACGCATATATATTTCCAAAATTGGGATTAGCAGCCTTCCAGCGGAAAATCTCAAAAATTAGCAAGGTGCGCCTTATTGCCGTAAGGCATTGCACAATTTTAAACATTGATTACGGGTCAAGAACCGTTTATATGGCCAGATTGATAGATTATTTAAAGTAAGCGATATTTTTTTAGTATAGGGGCTCAAGTGATACATTGGAAATAGTAGAAGGATCTAATTGACCATTTTCCCATCCAAAAGAAAACATTCTAGGTATACCAAGAAAAAGTGGATCGATATATGAGCTGATAAAACAATATGTGGATTTGGGTCAATGCCTATAATTCCTACGTTACCAATTGCTTAGAAAAACAAGTTATATTGCAATTGACAACGATTATAGCAGAGCTTCACATTCACAAATCATTGGAGGAAAATCAAGTCAATAGTAAAATCTAATTCATATTTCAATGTACTTGTAGAGGTAGAAAAAAATGCAAAGTCTGCGCTAGTTACCATGTTAGGAAGAAAAGGGATTGTGGATGGGATATCTGGCATCTCATTCTCCTCTTCACCACTTTCCCCGCTAACTTTCAAGCCCTTGATGCGCTGTTGTATCCGTAGCCTCCGCACCTAATCCATCATAGACTCAAGCTAAGGGTATGTTTGGATCCCCATACATCTAAGGGGAAGGGGGTGCCAGGGATAGCTATTCACTTCTCAATTGTTTTACCTCGGATAATGCAAAAGGAAAATGATTAACTACGTACTATTTTTCTTTTTACAATTTTTGAACTTCCTATATATGTAAATACGAGTAAATAAATACTCCGTACATAAAATGATTTTTAACCAATCTAATACCCCCCCCCCCCCCCCAAAAAAAAAAAAAAACTTTTTTCCCTTCCATATTCCCCAGCGTTTTCCATTCTATTTTCTTGAGCAGTTCCCTAGTACAAACAGACCCTAAAGCTTATGCCGCATAAAAATGGTAGAACCTCAGGAGTTAGTGGAATCTGTTTAGGTAAGTGTGAGTTTCATTAGGAATATTTAGGATTATGCACTTTGAATTCGTGAAGTTTAGATGATTAGTACCATTCGATTAATCATAACACACCTCTTCCATTAGGAGAAATATCTTGTTGCGCCTGCTCTTAATGTTATCTTGGATTTCCTGCGCCTCCATCTGAACAAAGTCCTGAACAGTCTCTGGCCCTTCAATAATGCAGAAATTGCTGCAAGGGAATGAAATTTCTCAAAAAAAATCATATATCAAACACAAGGACTACATCGACAAAATAATACCCGGTTAGAATTTTGCTGGGAAACATTCAAGCCCATAACATTCCATAGGAAAAAATGTAGAAATCTAAATATCTAACCTGGAACTATTGTCTGCAGAGGGTAAGAAACTGGGTCCAGGCTTTGAGATAGAGCAAGCCAATAGAGCAATTGACTCATTGTTTTCCAAGAAAGAAAATCGTTTCCGATTCTTTCTGCTGTTGAAGGGACTACAGCGAAGGGGGACAATGGTTTGGTGGAATGATGAAAGGCGCAAGCTGAGCGATGCAGAAGACATCTTTTTTCCCTGTCTTCTTCTACCCACCCCACTACTTATAGGCTATCTACAGCGTTGCATAGTGGCTGCGGGAAGCCAGGAAAACAAGTCTTCGAGTACCGCAGTAGTGCGGAAGCGGATGATAAAATCCGAGTTCCAGAAAATAAAAATAAAACAGCCTGGTGCAAATAGGAAGTACGAAATGGTTTCAACTAGAATGATCGTATCGTTTGGGGTCAATTTTTATTCGATTTTTTTAGTTCAATTTGAGATGGGATGGGAGAAAGATAACAAACAAAAATCATTTCATTTCGGTTTGGTTGAATTTGTGAAAATTGCTCTTAATACTTGATTGGATTAAAATGTAGCATTGTTCCAAAAATAGGATTTTATGTATGGTTTTCCTCAAATAAGACCGATTATTTCATATTTAGCCCTAATTTAATTAATTAATTAATTGTCTCATACTTCTCTTGCATAACTAAGATCAATATGACGGATCGGTCTGAGGTGATAGCAGCAAACTCCGACGGTGGCGGATATTTGCCAAGTCAACTGGAAATTTTTAGAAAAATATTTGTGGGCGAACCAACGACGATCCGTCAACCTAGGGCAACAGTGTCCGAGCTATGAGGGTACTTTGATTCAGTCACAAAAAAATCTACTTAAGACATTTTAAACTAGTTGGTCTTATTTTTGAAAATGGATGAAATTTACTTCTATTTGACGACATGTCCCTCTCGATTTGTTATTTTTTAGAAATATAAGAAGTACTACATATTAAAAATTTATAGAATATTTCAGTTCGCTTCAGTTTTATTTGATGTGTTACATTTTCAATTTGACCTGATTTACTTCAGTTTGGAATAAATACTACAAAATCAGATCAAATTGTATATAATTTGTTTGCATTTTGGGATGTTCTTACTTGAACTATTTTCAATCCCCAACCAGATCAGACTAGACTTAAACATATTACATCTGACCAGCTCAGATAAGACCAAACTTCCGTAGAGACCATACATTTACCAGTTCAGACCAAATCAGACCAGACCAGGCATAAACACATCCAAAGCTTTATTAATAAACGGGTTTGAATCATCCGATAAGAAGTTGTTATCAATATTGTAAGCGAACGTGCACCTTTAAATATTGACTCTCGAAGAACCAACTCCAGATTTGGGACCCGGGTACCATGGGCAATCCAAATGGCAGATGGACTAGTCAAACTCTGGACCAGCAAAGTGCAACATAATATTTTAAGTACGGCTAGTTAAACTTTGGACCAGGAAAGTCCAATATAACCCTGATGGGTATAACAGGGTGATCGAGGGCTAGGAAAGTTAAGTATAAAACTCAATAGGTACGAATATAGACAGAGCTTGCAGGCTAGATATTCGGGGTTATTTTTAAGGGAAAAGGTGAGAGTCCGAGTACTACAACCTCACAATTATTTTTACCAAGACAAATGACCCACCGGTTGGATCTTTTACAAATATATACCATCAGTATTATCTTGAAGATGGGGTAGTGTAGATTATGCCCTTGTATGTATGTATCACCCTACGTTTGGGCCGTTTACTCGAAGCGTTAGTTATCAATCATAAAGTTCGCATGTCATCATCGTTGCTTCTTGTGGAGTACTAACCCCTTCGGAGACCCTCACTGCTTTTCAGGTTGAGACTAGGGTCTACTTCCTGCACCACTTTTCGGGTGATCGTCTAATGGAAAACGTGGTTTGTGCTTTCTATTTTATTTCAAAATAATGTAACTACTCATGGATATATCTAAATCATGTTTTGCAAACATTTTGGTGGTTGCGTGCTCATAGGGGTGGACCGAACCGGCTCGTGAACCGGACCGGCCCGCTACTGTGCGGGCCGGGACCGGACTGGGGCCGGATGGCCGGTTCCGGGCTTTAGCCCTGGTTGGGCGGGCCGGGCTCGAGTCCTGTTTTTCTTGAACCGGCTCGGGCGGTCCATGCCGGGCCCGGTTCATTTTTTTTTTTCAATTTTTCTTTTCCTCGGGTAAAGCTAGATGTTTTGGGGAGGTTTGAGGGGTGGGGTGAGGGGGGGGGGTCGGGGTTAATTAGAAAGCAAAAAAATAAACATTGAAAAGGACCGGCCCGGTTTGGCCCGAACCAGGTATCAACCCAGGCCGGTTCCGGGTCCAACATTTGAAAAAAAAGCCCGACTTGAACTGGCCCGGGCTCGGGCCATGCCTACGTGCTCATGATTGCAACATGTGGCTGTTATCGAAAAATTGTATTATGCACTTTGTTTAAGTCTTATATTTGATGTTGCTTATATATTGTGTTTACTGACCGGACTGGTGAATGAATCTTTGAGACGCCTTGTACAGTTTGATAAAGACAACTGCGATTATCCTTGTTGGGCTGTCTGGTGGTTCCTATGTGGCATGGACCTAAAGAGGTATCAGAGCCAATTGGTTTCAAAACTATATGACCAACCTCTCAATGTGATTTTAACAAAAGTTTTTTTGACTATTAAGTGGTATCTCCGCTCTATGCATTTTTTTTCTCATTTCATTGTTTTCCTTTTTTTATTTTCCCTTTGTATTTACCCGTACATTGCTCTTCCTTTCATAAATCTTGTTTATGACGAGATATGTATATTTTTTAGTAATGAAATGAAATAGCATAATTAACTAGTGACTTTTTTTAATATTTATTTTTTTTATAATTGTTGTTATATGCTTTGTAAAATCTTACAATTTACCATTCAATTTTTACAATTCGATTTCCAAAAAATCTACAGATTCGATTATAAAATACGATTTTAACAACATTGTTTTTGGTATGATTCTCTTAAAGATTTCATCCCTAAATTTCAAAATCATTAGTTATGGCTGATTTATACTACAAACTCGAGAGCCATGGAAAAACGGTTCCGATCTGGAACAGATACCCAAGGATTTCTGGTAGGCTCGATCTCGAGGTAAAAAATGGGGGGTCCAGACCGAGCTGTCCCCATCCCGATTAGAATGGTAACCATTTTGATTTTTTCTTTAACTCCGTCCAAATTTGATGGTCTCATTTCTTTTGGGCACAAGTTTTAATAAAGTGGTTGAAAAAGTAAAAGTTGTGATTGATATTCGAGTATAATAAAGTGAAATGATATGGACCACATCTTTCTTTCCAAAAAGGTAAACAGGACCATCATTTTGGGACAGATGTACCTCCATCCCAATTTGATGGTCTCATTTCTTTTGGACACAAGTTTTAATAAAGTTGTTGAAAAAGTAAAAATTATGGTTGAGAATTGATTATAACAAAGTAAAATGATATGAACCACATCTTTGTTTCAAAAAAGAGAAACCTGACCATCATTTTGGACATCCAAAAAAGGAAATACAGGAAGTTTGGAGGAAATGGAAGGAGAGGACTTTGGAGGTATGTTGTTGGAGGGAAAAGGGAAGGGAGGGTGAGGAAGCCCTTCTTTGTGTTTGGTAATAACAAAATTGGAAGGAGAAGGTTTTTGAAGGAATTATAATTAAAATTATGGTTGGAAGTTTGGAGGAAATGGAAGGAGAGGACTTTGGAGGTATGTTGTTGGAGGGAAAAGGGAAGGGAGGGTGAGGAAGCCCTTCTTTGTGTTTGGTAATAACAAAATTCGAAGGAGAAGGTTTTTGAAGGAATTATAATTAAAATTATGGTTGGAATAGGATCGGGCCACCCGGCCCGTGGACCAGCCCAGCCCGCTACTATGCAGGACCGGAACCGACCCGGTTCTCAGGTCCGGGTCGGGCCTAGGCCCGGGGGTAGGGCGGGTCCGGGCACGGGTCTCAATTTTGGTGACCGACCTGGCCGGGTCGAGCCCAGGCCAAATTGATTTTTTTTTATTTTTTTTTTCTTTTGTGGGGTTCCACCCGGGTTGGGCTTGATGGACAGGAAAGCAAAAAATAATAATAATAAATTCCAAACCGGAGGCCCAGCCCGGTCCAGACCCAGTGGCTACCCGGGCCAGTCCCGGGTCCACTATTCTTGAACCGCCGGCCCGCCTGGGACTAGGCCCGACCCGGATTCGAGTCCATCCCTAATTAAAATCAATTTGAGATATGACGAATTAAAATCATTGAGTTGGTATTCATTTCAAATTTAGCTTAAATTAACATTTTGTTAATTATCCTTAAAAACCCTCCAAATTGGGGGAACTTAAAAATTAAGCATTTAAATGGTTTTGGAGGATTCCATAACCACCCTACAATTTTTTAAACTCTCAGCAATTAAAAAGAAGGCATATCACATATGCTTATATCGATTACAACAATTTCCCTGATTTCTGTATTCTTAACATTTTAAATAGTACAAAAACATATTACACTTTATAAACTTATAAAAAAATGAATGATACGGTCATACCCTAACTTCTCACCCACATAAATTAGGGATCATACATTTTTAATTAAAAATGCCATTCATATCATGTTGTTATCCCATATGAAATCTCATAAATTTTGATTATTTAGGTTAGAACGCTATAATACGCTAAATCAGACACCCTGGGTGACACACACTATAGACTGGACGAAGGCAATCAGGATGTAAATCCACAAAATCAGAAAACTGTGTAGTCACAATACTCTACACATCAGAAAATATCTTTTCAAAAACATCACTAGAACAGAGGACAAAACGTTAAAGCAATGTCTATGCCTTCCTGGTTTTGGTGGCAGTAATTTGTGACTCTGGCTGCAAATAGTAAAAACAGAAGTTAGATGATTTTGGCATGGCTAGACGATTCAACGTAATGTTCAGCAGAACATTTAAGACTTACCTCTTTTTTCACAGGCTCCTCCTTTTCAGATAAGATCAACTCAATATGGCATGGCGAAGACATATAAGCTGCAGAAAAACAGATGCTATGTTTTTAGTTCTTGCATATGGTTGACACAGGACTGCATGGTCAGCATGGTCAAGTAGTGAAAGTGATTAGTAAAATTGTCAGGGGATTGAGAATCGAATAGCAAGTGGGAAACACTACTTACTATCAAATAATTTAGAAGGCAACCGAGAATCAATTAATTTTTCCCAGGTTAGTTAAGTTTAAGTCTACTTTTGATCAAAAAAAGTAGGTTGCAAACTAAGTAATGTTACATCAGGAGCTCCACCACCTATAGTTGTTGGCTTCATTTTCTGATTAAGTTTGGCTGGTATTGGTATCTGTCTTCAGTACAAGTTGAGGTGGTGTAAACCAAGAAAGAAGTCCATTTGTGGACACTGGCATTGCCCCTAGTGGGCAGAGATATTTTTCAGAAATCAGCAAAGACACTTGCAAAAGACATTCTTAGCAAATTGAATTCAACAAAGCAGCCCTCGACCCTAGGAAAGCACTTTGAATATTTTAACTTGTTTTAACTTATGTCCAGGATAGCTAGGCACAATTTAAGAAACAAAACAGTTAAACGTACGGTTAATTCGCCCATGAGCACGGTAAGTGCGCCTCCTTTGCTTTTGAGCTTGGTTCACCTGAATATGAGAGATGTAGAGCGAATCAACATCGAGCCCTTTGACCTGCAACGATAACTCAGGATTAAATTATGGAGAATACATATTATAAAACGATGAAATCACAACTTTATTTCTTTTAGTCACCTCAGCATTGCTTTCTGCATTCTTAAGTAAATCAAGAATGAACCTGGCAGATTTTACAGGCCATCGTCCCTGTCCATTGGGATGTCTGTTTTTAGCTTGAGCCGTCCTGCCAACTCCTCTACAGAAACGGGTGAAGGGAATGGCCTGTTTGTGGACCAAAACATCTTCAAGGTACCTTTTAGCCTTGGTCAGAGGCAGCTTCCTAATAGCATGTGCAGTTTCCCTTGTGTTCTAAGATATAGTATGAACATGAAAACACTATTATTAATTATATTGCATTACTGACAATAAACATAGATAAACACAAACAACTCATAAATACCTGAATAGAAAGCAGCAAATTTAATGTAAATTAATTAATGTACAACTAAGTATTGAACAAATTATAATCAATTAAGCAAGTAAAAGCAAAGCAACCCCCTCTTTTGGAATTGACTATGATGTTAGGAAGATGATTATTGAAATGTTTCAACAAATGGTGATACACAACTGCCCATCTTCCTGAAATTAGTTTAGCAGAGAACTCTTTCGCCCATAGTGCAGTAAAAATGAGGCACCAGGTCGATACACACAATCTCTGCTTATTATAGACACGTTCAGAAGGCACTACAAAATATTAAGGAATATTCATTTAATTCTAGCAAAAGCCAACTCAAATGCAATGTTAGATGAAAGATGGAAGTTTTGAATTTTAAGCTTAGCAGTACCAGTCAAGAAATTTGACAAAGTGAACGAGGAAAGGCTAAAGAGTTAAAAAACAATACATGTATGGTACAGATGAATGTGGGGAAGATGATTGTTGAAAAATTTCAACCAATGGTAAAACACAACTGCCCATCTTCCCCAATGTATGATTTCGCAGACGAGACTTTCAGGCAAAGTGCAATGAATAGAATGCACAAAGCCAGTACCAATTAAAACGTCCCTGCCTAGGCCACATGTTAGGTTTATTATTTGCAGAAACACGTAGCATTCAGTAAAAGGGGAAATAAAACTCATAACAATGCACAATGTAACATTGTTTACTGAACAATCTATCCTAGTCCACAGAGAACTCCAGAGGTTCACCCAATAACAATGCAAACTAATGTCCCTGATTTCTACGAGAGATCTATTCACAGTGAGGCAATAGATCCCTGCTTTTAATCAGGTAACTGGTACACAAAAACAATACTCCGTTGTACTCATAACAGAACAGATAATTGCTCTAAACAAAATACTGTTTCTTAGTATCATCGGGAATGCAACCAAACAAACAAATTTAGACATAAAGGAATCACTAGTTTGCGCTATAACAGCAGTTGATCAAGAAACCGGTTACACACTGGGAAGAATAAAGATACCTTGAAATGAACTCTTAGATCCGAGCCCCTGGCTTTGCAGGCTGCATTTCAAATGAACAGTCATGGTTAGTAAGGAAGCCAATCAAGAACATGAACAAAAAACAATGTACAAATCATACACTTCGTGTGATTGTCGGGCTCCCGGGAATACTTCACCATTGTGCCGGCTGCTGCTTTTACCTTTACAATTGAGTCGAACTCAAGCATATATACACTTTTTTGGAATACACGGAATATTTCTAGGGTTTAGGTCGTACACGAATAATGTTATATCTGGGCTTATATCCAATTCTAAATTGGGCCTCAAGAAAGAACAATTATTAGTTTTTGACAAATAAGATTAATACTCCATGGAAGAGAGTGCGTATACCATGCAACCGGTGCATGGTGAGGACCATGCACACATTTGGTATTATTTTTTCTCTTTTTTAAAAAAATGGTAATAACTTTTTTATTTTTAATTTGATTTTTATAAAATTTATATCAACATTTTTTATTTTTCATGATCTTTCAAATGAGACCAATATTGCTTATGTGATTTTAACATATTATCGAATTATTATATTAACCTATGTAAAATATGTAATTTTATTTGTAGAAATATGTAACTCACGTCCGGTCAGGCCAAATGCAACTCGTGTGTATAAATATGTAACTCTACGTGTAAAAATATGTAACTTTACGTGTAAAAATATGTAACTCGCGTTCAGACAGGTCAAATACAACTCGTGTGTATAAATATGTAACTCACGTGTATAAATATGTAACTTTACGTGTAAAAATATGTAACTCGCGTTCAGACAGGTCAAATACAACTCGTGTGTATAAATATGTAACTCGCGTGTATAAATATGTAACTTTACGTGTAAAAATATGTAACTTTACGTGTAAAATTATGTAACTCGCGTGTAAAAATATGTAACTTTACGTGTAAAAATATGTAACTTTACGTGTAAAAATATGTAACTTTACATGTAAAAATATGTAACTCACAGATATAAATACATAATACAATAAATTTATTTATATAAATGATCAATTATAATCCTTATTATACACACACATGTATATAAATGAAGATTTCCAATCATCTCCAACATTCCTCATGCTTGGCCAGAAACCATAGATCACTGTTGCTTTCTTATCATTCAACTATGAGGAGAAAATTGGCTCCAAGATAGGACACAACAGGGAGATCAGGTCTTCTTCTTCCAGCCATCACCGTTGCTCTGTAATCAGTCAATGATGATGAGCGATGTTGACTCCAGAGGTCGCATCTTTTTTTCCGACAACTATTTGCTCTCTTGCCCTGTTACGTAACTAGGTCGGCGCCCTCCTTTTTAATTAAAAACGATGCCATTTATGGACCGGTATACCATGTGGATGGTATACCGGTCGTATGGTATAATTTGCCCATAGAAGACATGTCGGTTTAAGGTTAACCTGAACCGGAATTGGAATTGCCGGTTTTGGAACTGAAATCAGAACTACATAGTAACTCCGGTTTGGAGTCGGGGGTTCCCTAGTCGGGTTTGGTTCTTTAAAATTTTAGAACCTCAACTGCTGGTTCTGGTTTAGAACCGCCTTTTATTAAATAAATTAATTAACATTACTAATAATAATAATAATAATAATAATAATAATAATAATAAGGATAATACTATTAGTAGTGTTGTACAAACAATAAAAACAACAAATGATGACTATTACATAGTACTTCGTAATTTTTAGTCATTACTAGTTATAATACTTTAATATTACAAAGTATAGTTATAAGAATGCATAATTTACAAAATATTATTAAATATTTTCTAACTACTTGGTGATTTATTAAAAAAATATTTTTTTGTTAAGTATATAATTATTGTACTTAGTTATGGAAATAAAAAATAAACTATACAAATGATTTTTGGGAACTCTTTCATCCAAACAATCTTATAACTTAATATCTACTCTGTTTTTATAAATAAATTTTAAATATTAAAAAATATAAACGAAAAATCGACCCAAATTGGAACTGGAACCGGTACTCTGCAATTCCGGTTCCCCAAAAGTTGGAACTGCGAACTGGCGGTTCGGTTCCAGTTCTGATTTGAACCGCCGGGTCTACTCCGTCCTACGGAATTTATAATCTCTTCATTTCATTTAAATTATCTTGCCTTCTTTTTTACCCTCCCAAAATGAATATCGCATTTCCTATTTTGACAAAAATATATGTCATACTCCCTCCATCCCTTATAACTTGGCCAACTTTCCTTTTTTGGATGTCCCACTAACTTTGCCACTTTCCCTTTTAAGTGAAAAATTTGTGGTTCCAGTTAATTCTTTCTATTCTGCACAAACCTCAACCACACAGTTTTTACTTTATTAATCTGCATGCATGTCAAACTTGGCAAAGTTATTAGGGACGGAGGGAGTATCATTCTACTTTATTATATTCAAATTTCAACCATAACTTTTGTTTTCCGCCCGCTTTATTAATAAGTGTTTCCATTGTACTAAAATTCGCTAGGCACTAGTCGGCGGTTGAGAAGTGTCTAGCGCCTAGGCGGTCGACTAGACCGATTTTTTGGCCGACTGGGCCGATGAGTCCTCTACGGGTAGGGCCAACTAGTGTCTTAATCCGATTACTCCTCAAACTTAAGCTCAATTCTATCAACAATTACAAGTAACCTTAAGCCAGTATCTTAATACTATTATGATTGTTCTTGTTCAATCAAATATTCATATTATATGTGTCCCAACATATCTAGAGATATGGCAATGACACTAGTGATCTTTTAGAATATATAATGAGGGTGTTTGGTTAGAAGCTTATCAGCCATTTTTTGGCTGATTTGACCATGTTTAGCATTTTGACCATATCAATCCGCTAAACCGCTTTCACTTTTGAATCATATAAACAACGTTTCCTTGTGTTCGACCCGGTATTTTTACCGGAATTTATTACTACATTGGCACTTGTACACTTGCAAGTTTCAGCCGATCAGTCCAAAATTATAGGAATCGAACCAAACCAGAAATTTCAATTCGGTTCGAGTCGGTTTTCCCGGTTTTACGGTTCCAAGTCCTAGCCCTACCTCGAAGAGTTCAACGACTTCTAGTTTTGAATGAAATGGTTTGGTGCTATATAGTGCAAGTTCTTGCCGCTGGGGTGCTAAGCATGTAGCAGATTCCATGCCTTGTTCTAGGTAACGACGATTCTTGGTTAGGGTTTGACTCAACTCGTTTATTCTTCTTTTCTGGTTGTGTTTAGAGAAAATTCCAAATATTGGAGTAAAACGTACTGAAAGTGCAAAACTAGGACTATTAAGCTGTGTATGAGTAATAAATTAAGGGTTGACTAAACTACCCTTAATGAATAATTGAATTCTTTATTAATAATCGATACAGAGTATAATTATACGGCAGTAGAACAAAACAAATCAAAACAATTTACAGAGATGTGTTGCACCAAAATAATTGTACGACAGCTCACATCACCGTCGATGGCGCCGCCGGCCGCCAGCCACGACCACAATTGAAATCCTACCGCAACACCTGAAATGTTGTCTCCAGCCACCATATCTGTAATCGTTGTCACTGGCCGGCACATTTGAAATCGTCTGTCGCAGGCCGCTTCACCAGGCGTGGTCGTCGTCTGCCGCCTCATTCGACGATGTCGTTTTCTTACTTTGCGCCACCTTCTCCTCCGGTGAGATTCCGGTGAGATTGATGTAGATCTTTGTCAAAATTTCATGCTTGCAAAAATACAAAGTTGACTCACCGTGCATCTTAACATTAATTGCCAAAATCTCATTTTTCGAAATGAAAACATGGCATTATAACTGATATAAGAGCGCTAATTATCAAAATGGTACCACCCTTGTAATGGCTACTACAAGGTAATTACCTTAATCCTTCAAACCTTTCTCCACGTTTTCTTCTCCAAAACTCCCTTTTTGCACTCCCTTTGCTTGAGCCCGAGTTTGGGCCATGGAGGATGAGTTTTGTAGAGCTTCCTGATGGATAGTGTACCCGGGGGTAGCTTATCCGAGGGGTTATTGCGGAGAATAACTAGAGAGAAGTCAGAGCAAATAAGTAAGAGAGAGAGAGAGAGTGTATATTTGATATGTATTCAGCGTGGTTTACAATGGGGGAAAGGGGTGCTATTTATAGTAGTAATAAATGCTAGATAAGGACACATGTCAGTTTTCTTGTGGTCGAGGGGTCACCTCGACCGGGGTGGCACTGGCACTCGCATGTGGCCGCATTAAATGCGGTGGTTGGATGTGACGTTTGTACTTGGTACGGTGATCCAGGCGCATGTGAAGAGGATATTCTGTCGAGGTGGATGCCTTCGGCTGAAGGGTGCTGGGCCGAAGGCTCTTCTAACCGAGGGCTCCTACCTGCCGAGGGCTGCAGGTGCCGAAGGCTTGGTTTTCAAGCCTTGTTCTCCTGTGATGCCTCTTCTAACCGAGGGCTCCTACCTGCCGAGGGCTACAGGTGCCGAAGGCTTGATTTTCAAGCCTTGTTCTCCTGTGATGCCTCTTCTAACCGAGGGCTCCTACCTGCCGAGGGCTGCAGTTGCTGAAGGCTTGGTTTTCAAGCCTTGTTCTCCTGTGATGTTTCTGAGCTCGATTCCGTCACTGGTAGCCTTCGGCCATAGGGCCGAAGGCACCCCTTTGCGTATTGTGGGCTGCTCAGAGCTCCATTTTGCTGGGCTTGGCCCGTTTGGGCCTGTTGGGCCTGGTTGTAGTAGAGGAAGTATGTGGGTCGGGGGTCCCTGGGCCATATACTCCATCAGGAGTCCCCCACTCCTTTTGCCGAAAGGTACTTGAGGGAAAAGGAGTAGATGTGGTGATTTCCCCGAAGGCTTCCCTGTCCTGTTGGGTGCCTCATTTTCTCAATTCCCCCATATGTCGAGGGCTGAGAGCTTCCTGAAGGGAGTGTAAGTGTGTTGCTCGTATGTGTTTCTTTGTTGTAGTTTGAAAAGTAATGAGAGATCTGCATTTGTGTGCTTTGCCGAGGGCATTTGTTGACTGAAGGCTTTGTGTGGCTGAAGGCATCATGTGGCCGAAGGCATTGTGTGGCCGGAGGCATCATGTGGCCGAAGGCATTTTGTAAGCCGAAAGCATCATGTCGAGGGGAGTAGATTGCCATTGTGATCTTGCCTCAGCCTGCTGTAGCTGAGAAATAGA